GACTTCATGGAGGCTGAATTTACTATGTTAGCTACCATCAATGTTCTCCAACTCCTTGTGCCTTGAAGTTTCCGTGGTCTGGGTCCGAATTGACAGTATTCATTCACGCCCAGCCCTTTGGGGCGGAGTTTAGTCTTGCAACCTATCATCAGTGTTCCCATCCTTCCACCTGTGCTCCTACCAAATTTGAACGCTCTAGGTCCAAGTTCAAGTTTTTCACACAAACCCCGCCCTCGTGGGCGGAGTTCGGTCATGCTATCCACCATACGTGTTCCAATCCTGCCACCTGTGCTCATGCCAAATTTGAACTTTCTAGGTCCAAACGGACAGGAGTTATGAATTTCTGATCAAACCCCACCCATTGTGAACGGAGCTCCATCCCGCTACTCATTATAAGCGCTCCCATCCTATCATGGGTGCTCCTACCAAATTTGGACGGTCTAGGTCCACGGGGACTGCAGTTATAATTTTCCGCACAAACCCCGCCTCCTGTGGGCGGAGCTCGGCCCCGTCACCCACCGTTAGCATTCCCATGTTGCCGCCTGTACCCCTACCAAGTTTGAGCACTTTAGGTCCACGGCGACAGAAGTTATGACTTCCCGCTCAAACATTTATTTCGCACAAACCCCGCCCCCTGTGGGCGAAGTACGGCTCCGCCACCCACCATTAGTGTTGCCATCCCGTCGCCTGTACTCCTACCAAATTTGAACTCTCTAGGTCGACGGGAACCCGAGTTATGAATTTCCGGTCAAACACACAACTACACATACACACACAGACAGACAAACCAACAGACACACTTAGCGCGTTATANATAGTAGGATAGTGACCACTTGTATGCTTGCCTTTTTCGTTGCCTCAGACGTTAATTGGATAGGCCGGGCTCACTCCGAGTTCCACTCTTTTTTTTGTTTCGGTAGACATACTTTACTGACCCTTTCCGTATTCAAGCAATCAATACCCATATCGAGTAATGCATGTCGACATTGACAAAAATCGGTTGTCCTTCTGAGTAAGATTGCCGGCTCGGATTTCAGCTCCCCCTCTCCCTTTTCATGTTCTGGAAACCTGCGATGACTCTTCTACATAAGCTAGCTTCTTTTCAGTTTTGCTCTTACTCAGGACATTTCCGGTAAGTAGGGCAGATTTTTAGTCCTCGCTACGCTTACTTCATTTATCATGTATTTCAACTTTTGCTAGTTTCCCCATGTTTTCTCGTATTGACCGACAGTACGTATTTCCACTTGAGTAGCGCGTAGTCCAGTCGTGTAACCAACTATCAGTGACTCCATCCTGCTTCCTATACCCCACAAGATTCGAACGTTCTAGATCATTGGTAGGAGGAGTTACGAATTTCTGGCCAGACACTTATTTTCAGCATCCTCCCCCACTCTCCCTTGTGCGGATTCCACCTCAGGACTTGTGTTCCCAAACAGCTTGGCTCATTTTCCACTTATTCCATCCAATATNCCCCCCCCCCCCCCCCCCCCTTGTGCGGATTTCACCTCAGGACTTGTATTCCCAAATAGCTTGGCTCATTTTCCACCCACTCCATCCTGACTAGAACAGTATGGTCCTTATTGATTCATTCATTTGTCTGTTTAAGCTCAGTTGCTGTTCTGGATCCCGAAGACCGAAGTTGAAGATTATTCCACCACCCTAGCGGAAAGTTCGTTATACGACCAATCGAACGATTACTGTTTTCGGAGCTGGCCTGAAGCCAAAAGAAAAATTTAGCAAACAACACACAAGAGGGTAAACGATAGGAGAAGACTACTGAACCATTGACCAAGGCAAAGTAGAGCTTTACTAATCTGAACAGATTACACTATGCAACTTATAGTGCGTCATCGGGAACTTTTACAGAAACGTCAGTAAAAGTCTTTCATCAAGTCACGACCTCGCAATACCGCAATAGACCAAGACCTTGGAAGGCAGTCTGACATTGATAAAATATCTTCACCTCGAAGGTTATTACAGTTTGCAGTCAAAGTATACTCGTTGGGCACGGAAAGAACGAGGTACAATAAACGACCACATCAAACACCTTCAAAAGCAAATGTGCCACAAATTCTGCGCGAATGCAGGGAATGCTGAAGAAGATTAAAAAACTTTCAGTCTCACTTGAGGTCGAGAAGTACGACGTCTAAAATGACACAACAGCAGATACGAAACAGCCAGTAACAATGTGGGGAACTTCCAAGGAAAAGGGAAGAAAAGATTGATGAGTCCTCAAGAGCAATGAAACAAGATGGTGATGTGGTTGATGCAGTGGAACAGAGCACCGAAGAAATTCAAGTTCTGTGGAGAAAAGCCACGTACTTCTTCCTAGAAATGTCCCCACGCCGTTCGAAGACGGCATGAAGGTAACGCAGAGGCAAACACCGCCACCAAGTAGAATGGACTTGCGTAAAGCGCGGTAGTCATAGAAGCCTCGACGAGGGAAAGAAGAGGCAAGCCGAGAAAATCCTCACGAACAATATTTTGAAGCATTTTGAGCAAAATAGTAGAATAGTAGTGCAATTCTTAATAAAACGGTTTTTGGAACGGAAGGTCTAGGGAGACGGCGCTGGGTGTTTCACTTAATGATTGGACGAAGGCTGTTGAACAACAGCAAACAAACAAACAAGCAACAGCAGGTTTCCGTTATCTATTTTGATTCCACGAAGGCCTTCGACAGAGTGCCTCTTTAAAGGCTTGTAGGCAGAATTCGATTGGTTCGTACTCACCCTAGGGTCGTACAGTGGCCCATCATTTCCTGACAAATCGCGAGTACCAAGTTTGTTGAGAGCGATTTTCCGTCGGTTTCCTAGACTAGGAGTGGTGTCCCTCAAGGAGATGTACTCTCTCCTATACTTTTTCTTGTATGTGCCTCTGATCTGCCATAAGTTTTTTCCAATCTGGGAGGAGAATGCCGGATGTTTGCGGACGACATAAAGATATACAAAACAATCGAAGCCGCAGAAGACAGTCTTGCCCTCTAGTCGGATATTGATTACATGGAATGACGGTCTCAGAAGTGGCATCTGTCTCTTACTGGAGAAACGACACTGTTTCTCTTAATTGGTTAATCTTCTGACGTTGGTACAGCGGTATATCGCATTGATGGGAAGGAAATAACTGAGGTCGAAAAGGTATGGATCTTGCTTTCGTTTTTGATGGAGAGGTTGTTTCGATGATCATTATAAACCGGTAAATTCTACGGCAAATCATAGGATCTACTATTTATTCAAAGCTCTCTGCTAGAAAGATGAACGCACCTTACCGCGTGCATGTAAGACGTATGTAGGTTACGCCAATACTTGAGAGTGCGCTATAGTGTTACTCCATATGAAAAGGAAGATATCGCTCTCTCCGGAACTGTTCAAAACAATTTCACTCGGAAACTTATCATATGTTGTAGTGGAGTCAGTTACGAATTCATCCAAACGTCATTGACAGAAGAAAACTATTAGGACTGAAAAGTTTGTCGTCTAGACGCTTATTCAGCGACATTGTATTAGTTTTTAAACATTCGACAGGTATAACTAATCTGGAATTGTCAAACTTCTTTGACGTAACCACATCAACTACTAGGAAGGAAAGTTGTCATTTCAGGACGCCAGTTACTAGGACACAAGTCAAGCTCAAAAGTATCGCTGATAGATCCATATCTACGTTTAACACATTGCTCTGCCAAAATGCATTGTAGCTATCACTGGCTGATTTCCACCCACATGTCTGATCTGTCACAGATATCTCAGTATGTTATTACCTCATTGAATAGTTTTGTTACCGCTTTGTTTTGGTTATTTATGTTTCAGATGGTTTCTGCGGACTTTGTTTGCAGCAGTATTTCAAAATTTCTCCTTATCCTCTTTGAAATATCTTTTTATCTACTTTCGTAGAGTTTTATTCATTGAGTTTCATGTCTGACACTTGCTTGTGCATTATATTGCATTTACCTCACGTGACTTTGTACACGTCTCCACTGGAGCAAATGAAATGAAGACCTGGGCGCAAGGAAGATTCAAAAGGAGTGGAAGTTAGAGCCAGACAGGTCATGTCACACTATCCATTGAATACGGAAAAGTGAGGAGGGAAGAGAGACTCTTCGCTGTTGACCACCTAAACGCAAGGCGTACATAGGAGGTTAGAAACTGATCGCGCGGGGGAGCGAAGGTATCGAGCATGTTGGCTTAGTAAGCTAGGTATTCCACTCGTTTGTTTGTCTGAAGTGAGGCCTCCCCTCATCTCTGATATTCTCTGTGTGGCCTCTGTGGCCGGTTCATCCCTTAAGGGATTTTGTGACCGATCTTTCATTGAGGGCCTGTGTGACCGTGGCTCGCTGGGTCTACGTGACCCAGATAGTCGAAGGGCCTTAGCGGTCAGATCTAGCTTAAGCGGCAGGATTAATGTAGCGGCCTCAGTGGCCGAGATCTCGAAACCAGGTGGGTCTCTAGGTATTTCATCTAGCCTTTGTTTGTGATTTTTTTGCCGTTGCACTACGTTTATTGATCTGTTGTTTCCTTTTTTGTAATAAATTTGTCCTCATTCTTGTCGTACGTGCTATTCAGTGGTGCACTCCACCATTACCTGTTTCATGACCGTTGATTTTTGTGTACACATTGCAGAACGAGTACTACATGCGGATTTTGCAGGCATAAGACGTACCACGATTCTTCGTGCAATCTCGCCTAAGAACCTCAGAAGCCTCAACGATTACGACAATCGTCGCTGGCTAGAGTGTGCAGAAAAAGAACCGCAGTCTTCAAAAAAGCCTATGAAGATCAATTTCTCATGATCTGATAAAATGCTGTGCCTAGTCATAATTGACATTGCGAAATAGTGTACATGGCCATGGGGGGCGCGCGATTCACGCATGACCTCATTACAGCTCTTCGTGCACGGAGCGCCGTTTCAGTACCTTTCTTTTGAGATGGACCAAATAAATTTGCAGTAGTCCACGGTTTTACCATAAATAGAGCAAATCTCTTCACTATGGCAAAAAAAAAGCCCCTTCGAGATTGAGAATTCACCTCATAGGTCAACAATCTACTTGTCAAACGTTCAAAATAAGAATAACTTGAAATAATAGGTTGTCGGTGGAAAGAATGAATTAGTGGGCTTCATCATGGGATATTCCTTTGAACCTCAACAAGTGTTTGGTTATGCATTTCGGTAATGCCATTGCAAATGATTACGTGATCAATGGTATATGTCTCCCAAATACTGAGTCTAATAAAGATCTCGGTGTCATTTTCGACACTAGCTTGAGGTTTTCCAGCCACATCGACAGCGTCGTTAGGAAAGCTTTGGCTGTTTTGTTCCTGATCATGAGAAATACGAGGTGCTCTGATTCATCCATAGTATTACGTCTGTACAAAACATATGTACTGCCTCACTTAGAGTATTGCTCACAAGTGTGGAGTCCTTTCCTCAAGAAAGACATTGAAAAGCTTGAAAGAGTCCAACATGTATTCACTCGAATGTTGTGGCATAGGTCCAAGCCTGGTGTAGCCATTCCCCCGTACCGTGTTCGGCTGAAATCTTTATCGCTCCATTCGTTGCAGTATCGACGAGTAATATCGGATCTAGTGTTCTGTTTTAGCGTTCTTCGAAAAGAGTTGAGGTTATCTGCGAGTAAGTACTGGACTTTCAGACCAACTAGCGAAAGACTAGGTGGGTTCAATCTTCACTACGCCCCCATATACGCGAAGAACCATTCCTTAGTGTTCAATAATCTTTTCAATCGTTGTGCCAGATGGTTCGAGCTTCTGCCGCCCCAAGTACTTCAAGCGCCAAACAGTAAGATACTCAAGAGTAGACCGAGCAAGCTCGACCTCTTGGGCACCTTAGGTATTCAAGAAGTTGTCTAGGCCTTGTCTTTTTTCTTTTTGACATTTCAGTTGCATCTAGACTACCGTCCTACTGATCCATGTGTGACGTTCACATGCATATCTCTGGAATGATTGATCAGGATCGATCCTCAGCCACTCCCTACTTGAGTATTTTCTCTTCGTTTGTAGTAGCCTTATCTTTCCA